TAAACTGAATAGTAATTAAATAATAATTGCAATTTGATTAATTCACAATTTGAAATTATTAAAATACAATTGGAATAAAGTGAAATTAACATGCACAAAGTGTATATTTGCATGTGCTAATACTTTAAGTACTAATACTTGCTTGCTTAATGTTACATTAAGTATTGTTGATAAAAAATTAAATCGCTGACCTTTTTATTGATGCAAAATATGCAAAGTGTGAAATTTAAGAAAGCGAACATAATAGATACGCTGAAGTACAACTGAAACGAAGTGCAAGTAAGAAGCAAAGAGTTGTGAATGCTTAGAGTGTTTCTGGAAGTCATCTCTTGTAATATACTTCGCGCTGAATAGTTCACGCCTTCTACTTTATGCATCAGTTGCAAGGATCTTACAAAGCATTCTACCATTAGCAACATTATCAACAACTAGCAATGATTATTTTATCCATTATTCAGCTTATTTATACTTTACTAAATTCAATATAAATAAATTGCATATATACAAATGGCAATTTTTATATTATTTATTCTATTATCATTTTTGCAGTAAATATTTATTACGCTTGAAGCAGAAAAAATTATGCGCAGTTCACGTTATTTGGTTACCATGTATGCATCTTAATTTATTTGCTACAGAGAATGCATTTATGAGTTTTTAAATCCTTTATGCAAATCACTCTCACTTATTAATAAATATTTTTTCTTAATAGCAAAATTAATTAGCTATAATTGAAATTAAGTTTAAACTAAAAGAACCGATAACAATTCGAGAAAAAAATATTCAGAAATAGTGTGATGCAATGTTGTTATGCTATTAATTAATTCACATACAAATTTAAGGTTTTTAATTAAAAACTTTGTAAAAGTGATTTATTAAGGCGTATTAAAGTTTAAATTTCACAAATAATTAAAATGTAATGCAAATTAATACAACTCACAAAATTACTACTTAATAACACAAAACTTAATGCAAAAATTATAATCACAGGAAATGCATTGTATGTTTTAGAAGCGGTCGAGGATAGGACGTAGTCCATATTAGCATAGTTGCAAAGTGGACCTGAACATGAGCACATTATTACCTGAAAATAAATTTCTTGAAATTTCCAAGTATCGTTTGGTTAATTAATTACTTTAATTAGAACCAATTCCATTTTTCCTACCTAAAATAATGATTTATTTTCAAAATTATTCTCAAACGAAAATTCAAACTAAACTAAATCAAGCATTTACGAGGTCAGTTTCTGGAGTGAGTGCTACGAGATGAAGCAAACGTCGATCAGTTGTGCGGCATTCTGATTTCTCTGCAAGTGCTTCACGTACGTCTTCATCAATGCCAAATAATAAAAATCGATTCACGCAACCACGCATAATTGCATGCGTTGAAACTGTAATCTTTACGTAAATTATTGTGTGCAAATTTTTGTCTGAAAAATAAATTTAATTTAATTTTATAACAGATAAACATTTTTGATTTCTTTTTCTTTTTGAAGTAATAATCTATTATTTTCGGAGTTATAATTAAAGCAATCTTTCAATTAACTTTTCTGAGAAAACGCTATTCTGAAGAAGACAAAAAGAGCAAACGTTTTCATTGAGGCAATTCCTACGGAAACGTTAGTTTTAATTTGTTTTTATTTTCACGACTTGGAGGGAAAGAATGCAAGTTAATGCATAAAGTAAAGTATTCCTTGCAGAATGATTGCTGAAGAAGTAAAAACTTGCCTTTTCAAAAATTTAAAAATTAATCATAAGATTTTGAATTTTAACTTCATTTTTTTGTGTTTCGTCAATTAAAAACAAATTTTATTTTCAAAAAAAAAAACCAACTTGAAAATTTTTTATGGAAATTTAAATTTGAATCGAATGCACTAAAATTTCAAAAAAGTTAGGATGAGTTAGCTGAATTTAGAGGGTTTCATTCTATCTTTCCTAGTCACAAATCATTAACCATAAAAATTAATTGCTAAAAGAGTCTAAAATTAATTTGCATATCGTATTGGCTGAGGTCAATGCTTTGATCCAAAAAAGTATATCTGAGCGAGGTGCGGTTTGTAATGATTTAGGTAAATATAGACATGCGCAGTTTAGTGCTATATCTATTGCATTTATGCATTTGATTAATATTTTAATTTACTTTCTTATTAAAAAATAAACTGACGTACATACGTGAAGTGATAGAATTTTCACTTGACAATTTTCCATTTAAAATTGTCAAGAAAATGTTGAAAAACTTTAGTAAATACCTCAAATTAAATATTAAACACTACGTAACATAAAAAATAATTGTTGCCGATTTTACTTAGCTAAAATTTAAATACACTTATTATTTCGATAAACATAATAAAAATTATTAATCTTGATTTTTTAATGCTTGGATTAAGTTATCTAAGTGAGTATTACTTAGTCTTCCTTCAGTTAAACCATGCAAAGATGATAATTTTAGTCTTTTTAAATGCTGAATTTATGAATAGAAAAAAGAAGAAATTAACTTTTTATTCAATCACATTCATTTATTTTTTTATGTAAAAAAGCGAAGTAATATTTTTTATTCACTGAATGAATAAAAATATTATTTTGCTTCATTTCTTACTTAAAAGTAAGCAATGAGCAGTAATAGCTTAGTTAGCAACCTCATAGAGTGATAATTGTTTACTAACTAAAGCCATCAACAAAAGGTTGTAAAAAGCATTACAATTTGGTTTATTATTTGAAAATGTGTACAAATTTATAACTTAAAATTATTTCGAATATGCAAATTTTATACTCTTTTATTGTCTTCTTGCATTTATTCATTCATTCATTTTTGTTTTTTAATTTCACCCGTAATTCTGTGATTGATACAAAAAGCTAAAATTACAAAAATCTCAAAAATCTTTCTATTTTTATTTCAAAATTTATATTCATATTTTATCACTATTCTATTATTTGCATATTGTAATCGATAATCATATATTGAATATATGAGATATTTGTTGAATAAAATGAAAAATTGAAAAAAACTGAAAGTAATGCTTGCAGTGTTATTCTTGTAGAAAATATGTTACAATCAAGTTAATTATATTGAAAAACTTATACAATTTTTAGTATTTTTTGTTGGCAAATTTTATTTGCTTAGAAATAAATTGTAGTCAAAACGCAAGCTGAAATTTGCGCTCAAAATGATATATTTTTGAAAAAGTTAAAAATTATAAATAAAAAATTAATAAGCTCTTTTTTCGATGATAAGCAGCACAAAAAGTAAACAAAGATTGCATGAGTGAGTGAGTACTAAATGAATCAGCGATAATGCAAATTCAAATCTTTGCTGAAATCTTCATAACAGAATTCATCACTATCATCTTTTTTTTTAATTATGCGTTGCATTATTTGCATAAAATATCTATTATATTATAGCTATGTGTACTTTTTTACTTATTACTATGCAAATTTGTTTATAGCAAATAAGTAGTAAGGAACAAAATTAAAGCTTATTTCAGTTTTTGCATCAATTGAATAGCAAAGTATTTGCTCAAATTCAGAAGACAGTTATGAGAATTATCTCTGCAAGCCAGCCATATAACTTCAGCAAATAAAATAATAAGCAATCAATCAGTCTGAGAGAAATGATTTACACTGTTATTAACTCTCTAATACTTTATTTTTTTAATTCAATAATAATATATAAATACCATATTGTATCATAAAAGCAATTTTGACTGGATTCTAATTAATTAGTTAGTTACATCTTCAAAGTGCTACAACCCATAAATGATTGAACGTAAATTTGCTGGCACTTTTTTTTGGCATGAAGCGCATAATTCATATTACATTACTTATTAACTAAACTTTATTATTGCTTGCTTTATTATAAGTGAACTATGTAATTTCATTTTCATAACTGATAAATGCAAATTTGTCTTCTGCAAATCTCAGTGATTTTTGAAATTTTCAAAAAGAACACAAATTATACGGGTTTGAAGTTGAGTACCTGATTAATTGGTAACTAATCTTAATAATTACTGTATTTTAAAACAGATAAAATTTAGAAGAACAGAAAACAATTCGCGAATATTAGATTAACAATGCTAATTATTGCATAAATTCAAATATTTTGCATTATTTTTTGTTTCACTTTACTTTTCTGAAGCCAAACTGCATTTCATATGGCTAGACTTCGTCTCAATTCACATTAATACATTAAATCTATATTGAGAATATATTCTACAACTAATGCTAAGAAGAAAAAATAATGTTGACATTAGCTAGTAGTGCTAGTTTTCATTACTGAATAATAAATATGTACTGAATGTTTTGACGTAACAGTGCTGGAAGTGCACGCAGTTTGCTACGTCGTTTGTAATTCCTTACCAAAGGAAGATTCAGTCTCTATGAATAAATGCATGAAAATAAGTAATCACACAACTGCTTTGTTGTGCTTACTTCTTGTCTTTTATGTAAATATTAAAATTTTTGCATATCGTTGCTGTTATCACCAACATCGCTTCCGTTATCACTACTGTTATCATCAATTAATCGAAAATCCATGCACTCAAGTCACTCAAATATAGACAATGATAATTATGATGAGAAGTTCCACTTTCAGTGCTATTTTTGCTTCTTTTAACCTTACTTCTGCTGCTGCTAATTACTACAAGATTTTTTATCATCCAGCATTTCTTTCATTAATCTATCCATCTATCTATCTATCTATTCATTTCATTTCATTTCATTTGTCTTCTAGTCTATTTATCTATCTATTCCTATACTAAACATTATAGCAATGAGCAATGAGCTCAGCTCTTGTTTAGATAATATATGATACACATACATATCTTGAATTATTCATTACTTACTCTCTTCATATGCATTTATCCTCCGATCTCTCT